TTTTAAATAAACCAAAAGGTTCAGGTAACAACACAACTCGGCTTAAAATCTTTAAAAATACACAAGCCTGTGTTTAAGCTTTAAAAAAAAAAGTAGATGCGTACATTTTCTGTACCAAAATATATATATATATAAAAAAAGCCTTTTCATGTCTGTTAAAGTGACACTACTTAATCCACCGCACAAGAAAAAATAAATAAAATTTACATTGCAGAAAATTTCAGCGTTTTGGTTTTATTTTGAATTATTTTCCCAAATGTGACAGGAAGGTGTCTAAACTGACTGGTGCAAAATGAAAGACATTGCTCTAACCAGTGAAAGCTTGAGCTAAATAACTTTTATTGAACTAAATAAGTTGGAGATGCAGGAGTGCTTGATGTCAGAGGAAATTGTATAAAAATCCAGAAAACAATAAATAGACCAGAGATGCTAACAACGTGGACTATTTGTGTTCAAATCAACCAAAAACAGATCAAAAGGTACGATTCAACAGTATGGCACATCAGCAGTTTGCTACTGAAGCTCTATACATCGCTGTCGAGTCGGCCTTTCACTTAACTCAGAGCTACAAGGGAAAATTTACAGAAAATAAACCACACATGATCCCCTCATGATTAATATAGACAACTAAATATTGGACAGGTAGATTTTAAATATTGAAACAATTCATTGGGGAAAAAAAAAACCCTGATAAGACGGTGCGTGCGTCATGTTTCACTACAAGATGACGCTCGTCTTTTATTCCTTCAGTCCATCTTTAGTCTGAACAGACTGAGCTGTCTGCAGCCAAGATCAATAAACTACCTGGTCAGAGTACATCAGCTGTTACAATCCAGAAAAAGGAAAAAAAACCGTAAAGCAGATCAGCACACGTTTAGATTCACGCACACAAACCTCAAATCCTAATCTGTAAACACTCGAAAGCAGGGAGCAAAGATGGAAAACTATTTTTATTTAATCTCAAGCATTAAAAAAAAAAAGATGAACTTGTCCATTGAAATTTGTCCGTATTTCCAGACTATTTTTTTTTAAGTTGTAGTGCTTTGACGGAAACGCTGCGACCAAGATAGTCTTTAAAGAGGTTAGAAGTTTCCAGAATGACTCTCTGCACTGTGTGTGTGAGTGTGTGTTTGTCGGGGGGGCTCATCCACTTGAAATGACGGCTCGTGTTGCTCATCAGTGGTCTCCAGCAGGTCCAGTGTTCCAGCACTTGGATCATAGTGTCTGGTCATCTACTGTACGGCTCGGTCCGTTTCCCTCCACGTCTTTAGGAGCTCACCAGAACATAGATCATTCTGGAAGAGACAGATTAGGATTACCGTCAGGTTCACTCACAACCGCCTGGGTCCTAATGACCACAGCCAGTAAGATGGTGCAACATTTTCAACATCTGTGACTGACAAAATAACGACTCAGGGTGTTGCCACAATTTAAATACATCTGCTGAAAATTTACAGTGTTGACAAAAAATAAAAATAAAAAAATACACATTTTCTTACCGTGTGTTAAAAGTGGGAGCGTTTCTATTACAGTCATGAAACATCAACTTTCATGTTTTTGACAAATCTAAAACTTTAGTTAAAAAAAAAAAAGCCTCTTTTGTATTCAATTAGATTTTAGCAGAGAGCCATTTTGGGAAAAAAAATAATTTAAAGCTGCAAAAGGTCACATGACTGAAAAAAATACAACTTTTTACACAAATATCTCCTTTGGGAAATTTCTTGTAATCTTTATAGAACAAGCATTTTGTGTCTTTTTTTTAAAGGGCAAGGAAAACGGGTCTAAAAACATTAATGGGAATTTTAGTGTTTGTCATTCTTTGTGAAAATTCAGTGCAAATATTGCAGGAGAATTTAAAAAAAAAAAAACCTTAAAATTGTTATATCTGTATTTAAAACCATCAACTGGCTCCTTTTCAGTTTCAGCCAAAGTTATTCAGAGCCAGCTGCGACTCCGCAGGTTGCAGAGCCGCATGTTCAACCAATGCAGAGAGCTTCTGTACGATTGTCAAAGTGAGAAATGGAAAAAGCTGTGTACCCGTAGAGATAGTAGAAGAATGAGAGGAGGTAGAAAGCCAGTTTGCACCAGCCTTCTTTTTGACAATAGGCCAGGATGTCGGCATTCATGATGGTAGTCGGGTCATAGAGTCCTGGACAGCTCATCACAGGTCTGCTCGTATACCTGTGGCACAGCAAAAATATTAATAAATAAACCTGTTAGTCACAAACGAAGCAGAGGATTCCTGTTTCGGCGGTCAGCCGGTTGCTCGGTTACCCACCTCCAGACGTGATAAGCCAGCAGCGGCAAGTTGAGGAAGAGGGTGAGCCACTCGGCCGCGCACAGAAACATCACGCAGAAGAAGAAATGGATGAGATACTCTGGCAGCACCAGCTGAAACAGACCAGAGGAGAGGAGACGTCAAGGCACAGGGACAGCCGGTCAGTCTGCCTTCCTGCTCAAAACGAGACGATTAGGAAGCCAAGACAGTCAGAGGACGACGTGGGAGAACGCTGCAGCTCCCTGAAGAAAACCAATCGTCTTCAGAAAGCAAAGACTGAGGTGTTCTCACTCGGTCTTAAAAAAAAAAAAAAAAAAAAAGGTGACATTTATAAAAATGAGGGAAAGAAATACTGAGCTTCGGTGTAATGTGATGGATTGTATGGCTACAATGCATGTAGCCGGGGTGACAGCATACGACGCCATTTTTAACCAAGTAACAGGGTGAAAAATCAAGATCTACCACTTGCAAATTCGATAATTCCACAATATACTCCGGATTAAAAGAAAAAAAAATCTGATTTTCAATGTTTAGATTAAAAACCACAAAGTGAAGTTCCTCCCTGACTTACAGCTTAGGGGTGGGCATTTATCGTATCGTTTATCGTGATAAATTTCTTGTGATAAGAATTTTGATTTATCGTTGTCACAATAAATTCAAATTACTGATGTTTATAACCCCCAACACTGTCTGAATTGTTAGTTTTTACTATTTTTACCAATGTTTATACAAAAAGTGTATCAATACATTTGAAAATATGATAAATTTCAGTTGCTGTGAGTAATTTATCAATACAAATCACATTTTTTACAATGACTGTCCTAAAGTAGTGCATTACAAATGGGGATGTTTTTCAGGAGCAGTATTTGTGTTTGTAAGGATATGATTGCTGTATCATTCAGCCATAGCCATTACCTAAAAATAATTAACTAGTTAGCACTTTTATCGTTATCACAACATTACTACAAAATATCGTGATAAAACTTTAAGTCTTCAGCTTCGGCAAAAACATGAGTTGCTTTTCAGAGTTTAGAGATCGATTCTTGCAAGTGGACCAGAGAGATTTATTTCCCACCCTGGTTCGGTGACATGCATCACCTTGTGCGTCTAAACTAAATGACGACGCTTGCTCAGGACAACGTTGGTGCATCTCAACATCGACGTGTCTGCAGCGACGACAAATCCGCACATCGTCCCGCTTTGCAACAGCACATTGTTTGAGAACCATGCTGCGAGCGCAAGCGGCGTCGATGCAGCCAGCGTGCCTGAGGTTGTGTCGAGCGTCGGGTTCAAGGGGGCAGATGGAAGCACCACATGGAAGCCATGCATTTGGGGGGTGGGATAAAATAAAATAAAAATACAGCAAGTGGAGCCAAACCAACGGCCCGCAGAATGACAGGTGTGGGGCGTGGGGAATGTGCAGGATCTGCACTGCGCTGCCAAATACGACACAACTGAACAGACGGAGGGGGGTGGGGATGATAACCCCAAACGGGTTCAAACTGGGCTCAAAGCCTGCATACCAGACTATGCAGAACGCCATGGGTTACAGGTATGTGGAGCCTGACTTTTTTTCTCCCTCTACACTAACTCCTCCTCCTTGGAGAATTTCTAGCCAATCAGAGGTTTTAAATAGTGCTGAGCTGGAGAGAGGTGGGTGGGATTCTGCCGCCATCTGTTCAGAACCACAGGTGATGTAGCTTGGAGCCAACTCTGAGCTCACATACAGCAGCTTATATCGGACAAACAGTGGCTCAAACTGTAACCTCCAATTCGTGAGGAAAACACTTTGTGTGTGTGTATTTCAGTGAAGAATGTGGTTAAGCTGGTAACTTGAAAGCCATCCAACCAACTGATTTAAGTCTTTGTCTAACACATGGAGAGTTTACTGAACTACCATCTGTAAAACCATAAGCAAACAAGGGGTTGATTGTAATAGAAATCATGCATGCTTTAAGCATTTGCCAGTCTTTTCAGTCAAAAGCTAACGCCTCATCAATAAGCCAGAGCCGCTGAATATTTACACACACTGCTCTCCCCGTAGCTTCACTGTCTCGCCAAACGCGATGTCAGGAGATCCTTACAACAATCTACTGGACAGGAGCCGTGTCCAGTCAAAGTATTCATTCCCCTTTTACTTTGTCACATTTTGTCCCAGTACAGCGACAAAACTTTGCCAACAGACCAACGCAATTTAGAAGAAGCATCCATGTTTTTGCTTTTTTTTTTTTAATAAAAGATGCAGGAAGTGTGAAATTAGAGGTGGGCATTTATCATATTGTATTGTTTATCGCGATAAATTTCTTGACGCAACAATAAATTACAGTTAATGATGCTAAAACCCGGCAAAGCTGTCCATATTGTCAGGATTGTTACCATTTTCTCCACTGCTTGTCCAATGAAAGTATCAATAAACATCACATTTGAAAATATTAAATGCAGTTACGTTGGTTCGTTTAGTGATGCGAATCACACATCTTTATGTGACTGGTGTTGTAAAGAAGCGAATATTTTCCAAGTATTTGTCGGGCTGTAATTGCTGTGTCATGCAGTCAAACATGGCAGCAGCAATTATACGAAAATAGTTCTACAAAGTGCTGACTGACTGATCATCTGCATGTCACACTTTTCAGATCTTTATTTACAAAAAAAACAAAAACTTGCAAACCATGCGTTTCATTTCACAATTAAACTCGATGCTGAGGTTTGTAAAAGGACAAAATGTAAAAACATTCAAGGGTGTGAATACATTTGGAATAAGTACAATACCCAAGGAAAAGCTGGCAACGTAAAATCTGCGAGCGTAGAGCCGAGATATCCGACCAAGAAATTAAACTCTACGGTAATCAAAAAAAATATATATATATAAATAAATAAAACAAGGATAAAACGTAATGTTTTCGTCTAATCCAAAACGCAACCTAGGTTCGTTAACTGAAAAGACCTTAGCAAACACTTCGCCGTGCAAAATGACAAGACTTCAGACTAACGTGGACTCAGCGGGCATTTTAAAGACTGGTACAAACCTTTATTGCAATTTTGACTCTCTTAATCTTTTTGACCTTTTCAATTGTCTTTCAGGCATTAAAAAAAGAGGGGGGCAAAAGAAGCAGATTGGAAAAACAAAACAAAATGAAAATGCATTAGAGTTTCACAGCTGACAAGGACACTCAAAAAAAAGAACAAAAACAAGGTTATTTAGCATAACAGTGCAGAGAAACGATAGAAAAAAAAAGATAGGTGGATAACAGTACAGTTGTAACAGAGAGCATCTGCAAGCAGTCGTTTAGACAAGAAAAGCAAAGGGCAGGCACACTTACCGGATTTAAAGTGTTACATTGATCTATAGGATTCTTGTAGTCAGTCTTCAGCTCATCAAATGCAATTATCTGGAAATAATGAAGAAATGTCATATTAACCCTGGCATGATATTTTTATGATATTCCATTTGAGTGAACAGTCCACCAAATTTACACACACAAGGAGAAACTGTAAAATCCTTTAACATGAACAGATTTGTTATTGCAATAGCGTAACATTTAATTTCAGCACATTTTTGTCTTCATGTTAAGAGGTTTTTAGTATTACATAAACTGGTGCCACAACACAATCCCTTTAAAATCATTTGTAAGCCATGACAGCTGTGTTTGCCTGCTAATGGTAAATGTGACAGGGCAGAAGCTAATTTCCTTTAGCTCACCCTCCCACACCTAAACCTGGAGAGGAAGGGTCAAAGATCACTGTATGCCTCAAAGCTTGAGCAACTTAATGAGAGGAGGGGTAACAATAACTTGGTATAATACACTTATTTGTGTGCGTTTTTTTCTATGATAGATTACCAATTCTTGCTTACATTACATCTATTGCAAATGAGTAACAAATGACCTAAAGTTTACAACAGTGTCCAAGAAATCCCAAAGCTAACGCTGGCAAAAAAGAAAAAGAAAAAAAAAAGACCGTTAATAAAAATATGACTTGAAGTTGTTTCAACATTTGACAATCACACGCTTCCACCCTATTTACACCAAGTGGCGAGAAAATGGTCACTATGCAGCAGAAGAGCCATAAAGCATTTAGCTTTTCCGGTGTAAATATGTCGAAGTCCTTTAGCTTAGCCTGCAAAATGCTAACGAGCCTGCTAGCTGTTAGCACAATGTAGCCCGTCAGGTTAATAGAAGCCCTGTGTGTTTTGAGGAAGTCTAATACGAACATTAACTACGGAAACACTTTAATTCAAAATTATGTGTAAAACCAGCGTCTGTGTCGGTGCCAATGGGCTGAGCTTTCCGCCCGAGCCGACACCAGGGTGTGTACTATTCATTCATTCAGTAGTAGACAGGTTTCTGAAGTAAGCGTGCGTCAGTTCAGTTAGCGCTAACGCTCTCTAGAGACGTCTTCTGCGTCTTGGAGGAGCCGACTCTGACCAGAAACCGTCACTTCTACGTGCCCACTCGGCAGGCCTTGTTTTCAACCCAGAATTTGGGTTCTACACCTGGACAGTCAGAAAAGCAGTCGGTGTAAATTTGTACTTACATGCCAGATAGCAAAAAAGATAAGCGCCGCCGTGAGCAGTAGAGCGAGCATGTAACAAAAGGCCGCGAATGTGAACGCCATTTTTCTACGGTTCTTCTGCTCGGTTCCTCCTGGCTCCGTCGGCGGATGACGAAGGCTTCCTCTTCCTCCTTTTTATGGCGGTTGGCAAACAACTTGTAGGTGCATTACCGCCACCTTCCGGATTGGAGTATGGATCAGACGTTTATAACTGAACTAAAAATACTGCTAAAAACTATATCCCCAGATGATCTCTGAAACAATTCACTAATATCCAATTTATTTTTATTCCCACTTAAATCTCTAAGTAACACCTCTCTTTCCTGAACATATTTATTACATTCTAAAAATATATGTTGTACTGTTTCTAATTTTCCACTATATAGTGGAAAATTAATAAACATAACACAGATTATAATTATCACAATTACGTGATTAACATAATTGTTAATCACGCTTTAACAATTGTTTTTTAATTATTTTAAGAGTACTATTTAATCCTGTATGTCCAAATCTTATTCTAGATATAATACCTTCTTCTTTTTAAATTCTATTATATTTTAATTCCCCAACTTTTTTGGGTACTATAATAAACCCTAGCATTGCCTCTGTTATCCCACTGTTCTTGCCATTTCTTCTTGACATACATTTTTATAATATTCTTTATCTCATTTTTACTTATTTCAATAAGCAAAAATGCCCAGATTGCACATGCTATCACTGGTTTTAACGGTTAAAACTATTAAAATTTAACCACAGTGTAAAGCAGTATCTGTATCTTTCCATGTTTTAGACCAAACACGAAGGGAAACTTGACCAATTCCTGTTAGCCACTGTACTGTACTAGCCTAGCATAGTACTGCCACTGCCTGGACATAACATTTTTACATTTATACAAGATAACTATCACTTTTTAACAAAATAACCATCACGTTTAAACAACAAAGCGATCACGTTTATACAAGATAAGTATCACGTTTATGTAAGATATCACGTTTTAACAAGATACGTAACTAACCATTGCTTCAAAAACGCGTCTCTCTTCTTAGGTCTTAGGTATTTCAGGCAAGACACAAAAATGAGCCACAAACCAGAATGTAAAATCACACAAGACATTTATTGAATCAATGCATTTGGCCAAATGGAGACACAGCTGCTTCTTCACCTTTGCCTGTGTCCTGTCGTGTCAGTCGACCTCGTTCAGGGTTTGAGCCCAGAAAAACTCTAAACAAAGAGAATGGATACTCAAGTTTAACACAGAAACACTTCATGTTATAAACTTACTTTTTGCAAAACGCTTCTAAATTACATTACAGCAGCACATCAGCGTCTCACCAATAGACCCTTTTCACGTGACGTCACACAACTTCCGTTTTGGCTCGAAGCTGTGTATCCTTAGTTCCGGTGTACATAGTAAGTAATGATAAAGTTGTCTATTTCAGGCTTATAAGACATCTCTTATAAGCAGAGATGTCCGGTGCCGCCGCTGCATATATATATATATATATATATATATATATAGTTAGATAGATATAGATATCCATCTATCTATCTATATATATATATATAT